TTTGTGTAGTCACTGAAGTCTCCGTTTCTTTGCTTGGGTTCAGCTAGTGTAATGATAGCGCTCTCCTTGAATGTGAGGAGCTAAAAAAACAAACAAACCCCCACCACCAATCTTTGTAGATTAGCTCTGTGCCTGGACACTTCTTTAACACTTAGCCAGGTTTGCACTTAGCCCAGGGATCAGCCCAGTGTGAAAGCTTCTCTGGTGTTTTCTGCATATGTCTCTTGCCTGGGACATGAGCATAGTCTTTTAAATTACTCGTAGATGTTATTGTTTTCAAATATTTTACAAAGAAACTCTTCCTAGGTTTTGTTTTCAGTCTGTAGATGATATAGTGCATGTCTCAACTATAATCTTTGTTTCAGGAGCCTTTGGGTTCAGTTGGTGGTGTTTTAAGCATTGCCCACTGCTTTTCTGGCCTGAGTTCCAAGTTAGTAAAGGCAAAGATGAACACCTTGTTTTAATCCTTAAGTAGCCTCCAGATAAGTTAGAACAAAATAGTTTTCAAACAAAGTATTTACTGCTCCTTCTGGAACCAGGGATCAGGGTCTTAGTCTGGGCATGTGGACTTCCCTCTTCAAGACTGCTGCTGTGCCACGGAAGAAGGTGGAAAGAGCAAGTAAAAATGGCACAAATCTTCCTGTCACTTTGATTTTTATCATTTTTACTTCAGCATTTACTTGGTAGCTGTAAAACTTTGACTATTTCCCAGAGTTTTTACAAAGTTGGTTCTGACAGTTCCTAATTATTTTTCAGTGATTTTGCGGGCAGATACAAACTTAAAGCTACTCTACCATTTTGCTGATGTGATTCTTCTACAGTAGAGGTTTTTAATAACTTTTGTCTTAAAAATATGTAGTATGTGGATCTACAACCATCTGATCTTTGACAAACCTAACAAAAGTAAGCAAGGGGAAAAGGATTCCCTATTTAATAAATGGTGCTGGGAAAACTGATTAGCTATATGCAGAAAACTGAAACTGGGCCCCTTCCTTACAACTTATATGAAAACAAACTCAAGATGGCTTAAAGACTTAAACATAAAACCTAAAACCATAAAAACCCTAGAAGAAAACCTAGGCAATACCATTCAGAGCATAGGCATGGGAAAAGAGTTATAACTAAAACACCAAAAGCAATGGCAACAGAAGTCAAAATTGACAAATGGGATACAATTAAACCAAAGAGCTTCTGCACAGGAAAAGAAACTATCATCAGAGTGAACAGGCAACCTATAGAATGGGAGAAAATTTTTGCAATCTATCCATCTAACAAAGGGCTAATATCCACAATCGACAAAGAACTTAAACAAATTTACAAGAAAAAAACAAACAACCCCATCAAAAAGTAGGCAAAGGATATGAACAGGCACTTCTCAAAAGAAGGCATTTATGCAGCCAACAAACATATGAAAAAAAAGCTCATCGTAACTGGTCATTAGAGAAATGCAAATCAAAACCACAATGAGATACCATCTCATGCCAGTTAGAATGGTGATCATTAAAAAGTCAGGAAACAACAGATGCTGGAGAGCATGTGGAGAAATAGAAACACTTTTACACTGTTAGTAGGAGTGTAAATTAGTTCAACCATTGTGGAAGACAGTGTGGGGATTCCTTAAGAATCTAAAACCAGAAACACCATTCGACCCAGCAATCCCATTACTGGGTATATAACCAAAGGATTATAAATCATTCTACTATAAAGACACAGGTATACATATATTTATTGTAGCACTATTTACCATAGCAAAGACTTGGAACCAACCCAAATGCTCATCAATGATAAACTGGATAAATAAAATGTGGCACATATACACCACAGAATACTATGTAGCCATAAAAGGATGAGTTCACGTCCTTTGCAGGAACGCTGATGAAGCTGGAAGCCATCATTCCCAGCAAACTAACACAGGAACAGAAAACCAAACACCACATGTTCTCACTCATAAGTGGGAGTTGAACAATGAGAACACATGGACACAGAGAAGGGAACATCACACACCAGGGCCTGCCAGGGGGTGGGGGCAAATGGGAGGGAGAGCATTAGGACAAATACCTAACGCATGTGGGGCTTAAAACCTAGATGATAGGTTGATAGGTTCAGCAAACCACCATGGCACATGTATACCTATGTAACAAAGCTGCACATTCTGCACACGTATCCCATAACTTAAAGTAAAATTAAAAAAAAATTAAATCTACAAAACTATTACAATCCCAATTCTTTTGTTAGATCTAGCTAAAAAATGTAGTATGTGGATACATTACTTTTTTCTGGTTTTAATTTTTATCTGATTACTAGCTTAGTGAATCTTTCATACGTCTTTCAGAAGGGGGATAATTATCTTCCCTCTACCATCTGGTTATCAGTCACACATGGATAGCTATCTAGGTATAATAGGCAAATATTCTGCTTTAGGACCACCTCACCCTACATGGTACCTACTTATTGTAGAAATGATTACACCGCCAAGAAATCAGGTCGGTCAAGTCCTTAGTTAACACCTACTACATGCCTTAGTGACTGCCTTGGGGCCTTTCTTTGCAGAAACCATTATAGGTTTAAACAAACTTGGGATTGTTTTACAAATTGTTAAACTTAACAGTGGTAACTTTTTCATTATGTTAATATTAGATGTGTTTCTCACTGAAAATTTTGATGGCTAAGGTTTTGCAGATTAATCTTGTATATAAAACAACATGAGGTAGAGAATAATTTAGTAATTCTAGGGTATTTTAGGTGATTAGTCATTTTTATCACTTTTGGAACAAAACTCACGAAAATGATTTTTAAAATGACTGATTTGTAGTTTATGAATTTGGGCTGAATTGGTTTGAGCAGAATCTTGCAAAGTTTTAAATAAATATCATCTAAACCCATTCATCTAGAAAGCCAAATCAATCGTGTGAACTTGCCTGTACTCTGTACAGGTCAGAATACAGATTAATTAGACTGCCATAAAAATACTCAAAATAATATGTGACAGTCTGAGGATACTTCATCTGTGGTTGGTGTGATGATTCCACGGTAACAGAGACCTAAAATCCTTTTATGTTGTTGCTCGAATGTCTAATTTAAGTACTGAACCCTGTCCTTGTAGTGTAAATGTAGCCATAGAGTGTGTAAATGTAACATATATCAATGAGTGTGTTTGTGTTCCAATAAAACTTTATTTTTGAAAATTGAAATTTAAGTTTTATATAATTTGTACATGTCATGAAATATGTGTTTCTTAATTTTCTTTCATTAATTTTTTATTATTATTATACTTTAAGTTCTAGGGTACATGTGCATAACGTGCAGGTTTGTTACATATGTATACTTGTGCCATGTTGCTGTGTATATGTAAAAATAATTATTTGCTCTCTGATCAAACAAAAACAGACAGTAGACAAGCTTTGGCCCTTGAGTTGTAGTTCACTGGCCCCAGCTCCAACTCTAGTAGCTCAGGTTATCATTTCCCTATCTTAGTTAGCTTGGATTACACTTTATGTTGTAAGCATACTTGTTCTAGATTTCTGAGGGGCTTACCCTTGTTTTCCAAGGACATTACAATCTTATCAGCTTCACAACACCATCATTGGACAAGATTTTCTTATTTGAAATACCTTGATGAAGTCTCAAGCAGTGGTCATGTATTTTATTTACTTCAGACTGAGACAGTAGTTCCGTGTGGGTTTACCTTTTAATTCTCCAATATTTTTTGTCTCTTATTACTAGTTTCAATCAATATTTATGTAGTACTTATGTGCCAGTCATTGTTGTAAGTTTATTTAATATGTTACTTTCTTACAACAAACCTATGAAATTAGTACTACTATCTATTTTACCTAAGGGGAAACTGGGGCACAGAAGGCTTAAATAACTTGAGCTAATAACGCAGATAATAGATAGCAGAGCTAGGATCCAAATCTAGGCTGCGTGGATCCAGAGTCAGAGTCCAATCCACTTTGCCTTTCAAAACAACCTTGGTGTGTTGTTTTCTTAAATAAGAAATGTAGGAATGTTTCTCTGCAAACCCTGAAATATTATGTCAGTCACACAGGACACCTCCTTCTTGTACAGCTAAATTAGTATCACCAGTGTTCTTGGAGACCTAGGATTCCTGATTGAGGGATTCCTATGCTGCAATGTCTGTGTCCCATATTGTATTTATTTATCAAACAGATCTTCTCATTGCCAGACATTGTTTTAAATGCCTTATACACATTGACTTGCTTAATTTAATCTTTACAACAAGCAATTAACAGATGAAAAAGGTCGCATAACTTTGTAAAGGGCAGAGCCAGATTCCAACCAAGTTAACGTCTTCGATCGCTATTCTTAATCTTTCTGCAGGGTCTGAGTCTCTTTATTTCTTATCAGCATGGGTTTCTCTGTTTCTTGCTTCAGGGACTTTATGATTGGTCACAAGAAATTCTTGACCTTGGTTGTTTTTGACATGGCTGCAACATGCTCTGTCTTTCTGACAGGAATGCATAGCAGAATATCAGGTTCTCCTCAGCCCTGTAACAATCATAGAGCACATACGGCATAGATTTTGTTTTAAAAAATCTCTTTTGGTGTGTGTATTCTTCTTGTTTAAAGTCTGAATTGATATTTGCACACTGCTATAACCTCTCTCATGAAGCATTACCTATTTTCAAAGCTACATAAGATACTGTTGTAATCATACGGTTTTGTTGTATACATAATCTCTCTTTAATTAGTCATCATTATTTATTTTCCTTTTGTTAGTTTAATTATAAAAACAACGCATACTCATTTTAAGAATCCTAATAATACAGATCTGTGTGGTGTTGGTGGTGAAAAGTCTCCAGTTTCTTTCATCCCTTTTCTTTATAATTTCCAGCATAATGTCATAGAAATAGATGAAACTCTCGGCGGGCTTATTCTGCATTCACTGACCATGGTGGTTTGAGGGTTAACTTTAAGAAGCACTCTGTCCTTTTCAGCTGACAGCTACATCCGGGAGAAAAGCGCTATTGCCTGGGAAACTAAGTCACGTGAGAACCTGAGGCCTCTAGGTGCCGGAACCTGACCTGAGCTGGGGCCTGTGCTTCCAGTGGGTGGTGGGGGGCCTGGTGTGCTGGCATCAGGTAAGCCGACTGCCTCGGCAAAGGCTTAAGGACAAGAACTGGCTGGGGCATCCGGAAGGCTTAGATCTTGTGGCCAAGAGTTCAGACCGTGGCGAAGTGGAGAGTGACATGCAGTTGGATGGCGGTGACTGCGTGGTAAGTTGTATTTGAATACCTGGCAGGAGACAAGAAGTGGGGATGAGCTAGGACTCATCCTCCCTTTATTGACTAATTTGCCTTTTTCCAGAGGGAAGGAAGCCAGACCAGCTAGCAGGACGCCAGGGGTGCAGGGGTGGGAGTGCGGGAATGAGAATAGGTGTCCGGAACAGGACAGAGGGGGAGGGGGACCCTGAGGCGCAAATTCTGTTTCCTTACATGGCTTTTTCTTCTCGTTTTTCTCCTTCTCTCTCACTCTCTATGTCCCCATTATTCTTGTTCTTTCTTTTCCTGGTTACGCATTTTTATTCCTCCAGAGCCTTAATTCGAATGTAAACATTTTGGCTCCTAATCCAGTTCTCTATTAACTTTCCTGGTATTTGTGATTTCGTGTTTGGTAGCATAATAGGACGACTATAGTTAACAATAATTTATTATATATTTCAAAATAACTAAAAACCGAAATTGAGATGATTCTAACACAAAGAAATGATAAATGCTTGAAGTGATGGATATACCAACTACTCTGATTTGATTATTACACATTGTATGTTATAATCAAAATATCACATGTACCCCATAAATATGTACAACTATTATGTATCCATAATAATTAAAACTTCAAAAACGTTAACCAAATGGCAAAAAATCAGAAGAAGTTATTCAAGTATGGTGAGTAAACGTTTAAAAAGTGACAGCTTCACTAATAAATGCACATGAAAAAACGGAATAGCAGATTATGATTGACAAGGGAATAAAAAGATTGTTTATGCCCTGTGTTGTGCAGAGTTTGGGAACACTGGCACTCAATTACAGTATTGTTAAGTGTGTAAATTAGTATAATCATTTATTGTTGGGCTATTTGGCATATGTAACAAACTTGAAAACTTCTTAGTCTTTGACCTAGAAATTCTACCCTTAGGAAATTTTTTTCAACAGTTACTACTGAAAATACACACAGGCATGCACATACATATATAATGTGTTAATTGCAGCATTCTTTGTAATAGCACACTTTGGAAATAATCTAAGTGCCCATCAATAGTGAACTGGTAAAATAAATTGTGGTATAACAATATGATTGGATAGAATACAGCCCTTTTAAATGGCACTGATTTGGTGCCTGCGAAATAAGTTACAAAATAGGTTTTCTAGTAGTAGTCATAATATTATCAAATGTTTCTTTACAATATATGTGAACACATACTTCTACATGAACAGAAAAAATACTGTAAGAAATTATGAACAAAACAACTAGCAATGAAAATCTCTGGGTAGTGGAATTGTACCATTTGTTTTTCCTCCCCTCTTCTGCTTTCCTTCTCAACGTCCTTCCCCAACTTTCTCTCTTTCTTTTTTTCTTAAAGATCCATGTACATTTATTTCAACATTAATTTTTATACTCCAAATACCATTTACTTTCTTTTTTAAGATATTGCATATTAAGCAATACACAAGATTGTAAAGAAAAATGCAACCAATACCATTGTAGCCTTAGCTCAGTTTAACAAGTAAAAATTTGATCAATACAGCTGAGATCTTCTGTGTAACCTTCCTTAATTTCATTACTCTAATCATGAATTTGGTGTTTATTTTTGCTATGAATAATTTTTTAATTTTTTACCACGTGTACATTTATAGCTCAGAAATATATAGTATCATTTTACTTCCTTTAAAGTCTAATATAAGTGGTATACTGTATATATTCTTCTCAACTTGTTTTTAGTCAAAATATGGTTGTGAGCTTTATGTTGATAACTTTTATTAACAGTTAATTTATTTTCCCTGCTGTATTGTTTCTAATGTATACCTCTACCACAATTTATTTTTCCATTTTATGAATGACCACGTTGGTTATTTCAGTTTTTAGTACATGTATTTATGTTAATGGACATTGTAATGCACTTCCTTGCTCTATGAATTATTTGATGGATTACTTTGGAAAAGTTATTTCACTTTTTTTTTTGAGACAACGTCTCACTCTGTCACCCAGGCTGAAGTGCAGTGGCACAATCTCTGCTCACTTCAACCTCTGCCTCCCGGACTCAAGCAGTCCTCTCACTTCAGCCTCCTGAGTAGCTGGGGCTACAGGCACCTGCCACCATGCCTGACTAATTTTTGTATGTTTTTGTAGAGACAGGGTTTCACCATGTTGCCAAGGCTGGTCTCAAAATTCAGAGCTCAAGTGATCCACCTGCCTCGGCCTCCTAAAGTGCTGTATGTCAGGTGTGAGCCACTATGCCAGACCTAACAATACTTCTATTTTATCAGTTGTAAAATGGGAATAATGGCTACCTAATTCTCAGGATATTGTGAGGCATGAATGAAGAAGCTGTGTAAAGAGTTTGAAATAAATTAACTTTCAATGATTGCACTCCTTTCCCATCTTCCTGTCATAAAAGACATGACTTTGGCCTAAACTGAAAAACATAACTAGCATACATATTTTTAATTTTTTAATTTATATATATGTAATAGTTGTATGTGTTCATGAGGTAAATGTGATATTTTGATACAAGCATGAATTGAATAATGATCAAATCTGGGTAACTGGGATACCCATCACCTCAATCAACTATTATTTCTTTGTATTAGGAGCATTCCAATCTATTCTTCTGCTTATTTTGAAATGTACAATAAATTGTTGTTAACTAATTGTACTACTGAACACTAGACTAGATCTTCCTTCTATCTAACTGTATTTTTGTTCCCATTAACCACCTGTCTTTATCTCCATCTACCCAACTAAAATTCCCAGCCTTTGGTAACCACCATTCTATTCATTACCTCCATAAGGTGAATATTTTAGTTTCCATATATGAGTGAGAACATGTGACATTTGTCTCTGTTTGCCTGGCTTATTTCACTTAGCATAATTTCCTCCAGTTCCAGATATGCTATTGTAAATGACAGGATTCTATTATTTTTTGTGGTTCAATAATATTTCATTGTGTATATATGCCATATTTTCTATATCCATTCATCCACTGATGAGCACCTAGGTTGATTACATATCTTTGGTATTATAAATAGTGCTGCAATAAACCTGGGAGTGCAACTATCTGTTCAATAGCTAGCATAGAGATCTTTTGAAAAAGTACAGGCAAGAAATAGCCTGTATCCAATGATGTTATTTATGGGCTTTATTGTTTTGTGCAGTGAGTTGTGGTATTAGAAGAAGCTTATCTAGTTTACTACATATATTGTTTAGTTTTCTGAGCCCTTACTTTACCTTCCATGTTAGCATCAGAGAAGATATATTTCCAAAATTACAAGATACCACAGAACTAAGATAATGAAGGAACTATTGTGTACAATCTTTTAGTGGGTGTTAGGTGATCTGATTCCCATTACTATCCCATAGCATCTTGGGTAAATTATTTCACCTCTGATCAATGATTGGTATCATTGTAGTTGTTAAGGTTCTGTTTTGTTGATGTCTTGGTTTGTTTGGGCTGCTATAATTAAATACCACAAACTGAATGACTTATAAGGAACAGAAATTTATTTTTCACAGTTCTGGAGGTTGGGAAGTCCAAGATCAAGGTAGTGGCAGATTTGGTGTCAGGTAGAGGAAGTTCTAATTAGCTCTCAGAATCAAATGAGTGAATACCCAAGCAGGAATAGGGTCCTTCTTTGTTTAAGCATGTTAGCAACAATAATTTTCTACATTTTCTTTCTAAAGTGCTGCTATTAATATGATTTCACTCTTTGTGTCTCCAAGTTTTAAATTTCTAGTGAAGAGATTCTGATTGCCTAACTTGAGTCACAGGTGGCTGTGAAGGCAGGTTAAATAACGTAGACATAACCAGTAGGTAATCCTTATGAGCCAGGAAGCCATCCTAATTGTTGTCTAGCAGCATCTACTGTTCTACTCACCATTTTTTGAGATGAATATATGTCAATTTTATTACCAGATGAAATATAATAATAAATTATTTCTGAAGTAGCGTATATGTGGTGGCACACATACGAAATGTTTTTCTTCATTTCTTTCCTCATCTTAAAAATACATCTTTAAGGTACATAATAAACTATTTAAAAAATTTTTAGGTTGCCAGTCACAAGGTGCCTTTTAGTAAGGTACACAATACCTTCTATGAAATATTTTTGCCAGAAAATTTCACTCAAATCTGATCAAGCCTCTAAATTTAATAATTTATGGGAAATGCAAAGCGCAGAATTACATGACAAATGACATCATTGAATGCAGGCAGAAAAATCCAGCCTGTGGGAAGCTCTGCAATGCAGATACGGGTTTTTAAAACAAATACATTTAAATAAAAAAAAGACAGACAGGGATTTGAGTAGTCCAGAACACCTACAGATTAAAAAAGAATTAAGAAACATATCAACCACTTGCAATGTATAGAGCTTATCTTGATCCTGATTTAAGCAAGCATATTGTTAAAGACAGATAAGACATTGCTGGTACCAATGCAAGCTAGTATAATGCTTTTGAAAACATTGCTTCTAGGTCCTCTCAGAGAACAAAACTAGGAAATATATGCATGTATACACCCACGCAAATATCCACATCTACATTTATTTTTACATGTATCCTATCTATACCTAACAAATGATACGGCTTTATCGTTTGGCTTACCAATCCCATTTCTAGAAGTTTTCCCTGTAGATATACTTTCAACAATACAATACAACAGTGAATATGCACAGTGAATATGCAACATTATTTATATTTGCAAAATGTTGAAAACAACATAAATACCCATATACACTGTGACACATTCGTACAGTGTGGTAGCATGAAGCTGTAAAAAAGAAAATGGAAGATCATTATGAGCTAATATGGAGTAATTTCTGGAATATATCATAAATTAAAAGTGTTAAAGGCAAAAGAATATCTGTAATATGTTACCCTTCATGTGATGAAGGAGGTGTAAAATATACATATATATCTGCTTAATTGTGCAAAAGAAATACAGGAAGCCAGAGACTTAATGAGAGGCTACCAGTAGTTAGTGTGTATGGGATGCAAA